CACCCACAGACTTGGCACTCAAACACTCTTCCACTGAGCCCTGGTGAGCTTGACCAATCTGTAAGATGTTTGAATAAGCCTCTTACTCCTCAGATACTTTTTGATCTTTACAGTTATCAGAAAGGGGGTTGATCAGGGAGAAAGAATTATTAAGGCTTGATAAAGACTTACTGAAAACCAAAATATCCCTTGTCGTCTCTCTTCTGAAGTTTTGCACAGCCCTATGGTGCACTTTTTGTTTTCATCAAGTGATAGAGTAGTTCTTAGCCTAATGTTTCCATCTTTATTACTTTTCTTGCCTTGAATGAGTGACACCAGAGACTGTAGTCCAAATTTCATTCTTTACATAACCCCTTTCACTCCCAGATCTCATTTAGTAATTCTCCTTACTGTCTGCCATACAATTTTTATGATGTCAGTTTGGAGAAATTTGCATTGGATCAACTAATCCCTAATTGGCATTTCTCTTTTTCCTCATCACTTGTCTGCGTAGTATTGTATGGGAATTGTAAAGCGAAATTCAGCTGTGGTCACTCATAGGAGTTAAAAGGTTATTCTCTATTTGACAATTATTCCAAGAGCATTGGTTATAAGATGATACCATGAGGCATGTAGCACCAAGTAAGCTATACCCAATTTCATATCCAACAAGCACTCATGGAATACCTGTTTTATTGAATTGCTTTAAAATCCTGAACACTTGGATAATTGGAGCCTTTTTTCAGCTCCCAAACAGTTGTCACAATGTATTTCCATACAGCGTTACATGGAATATTAGGTGATAACTGGAGTTAAGAGAACATTCAGCATTGAAACTTTAGTAATCAAATTATTCAAGGTGCAATGTTAGTATAATATCTTGAATTATTTTGCCATTCACTTAGCATTTGCTGGATAGCATACACTTATATTGTTAGGAGAAGTTGTATGTTGATCAATTCATGTCTGTTGTAGGTACATGATGGGCTATATTTTTTAACAACAGAGCTTTCTATTAAACTTAAAAATTTCTGTCTCAATCCTAGAGATTTGATCGGCCATCCATTGATGACGAAGTGTTCTTTGATTTTTCGCCGGAGAGACCAAGACGAAGAATTGAAAGACCAGGATTTTTACCCGAAATTCAAGAGGAGAGGCCTGCCATTCCAACAACAGAAGCTAAAGATGAAGTGGAAGGACCCCCTATGTGAGTTTTCTAGGGTCAATGATAATGAAATAAATGCTTGAGCTATCAGTTCAATTGTAGCTGAATTCTAAGGTTAATTTTTGTCCCTTTAAGGCCACCAGTTCGCAGCACTCGTGGCCAAAGAATTAGGGACCGACCCTGTGCTACAAATGCTAACCGTCGTGAACTTGGTAAAGGAATGGTTGGTAGATGGTTGAACAGAACAATAAAGCGTAAACGCTTGACAAGCACTGTCAAAAAGCAGATTGAAAACCTTTCAGATCACAGGTAGGAATGTTGCATTTGTGACAGAATTGAAATGTTAACTGACTCAAACAATATTTTCCTAGCAAGTTGCCACAAAGTACAGTACTTATGTCCCTGTCATCTTCATTGGCATCTTACATGCACCACCCTTACAATGCAGATTTGAAACCCCTCTAGTCTTTTGTCCAGCTACATTAGTTAATTCTGCTGAATGTGCTTGACTTGTAATAATTAATCTACTGTCAGTAAATGACCTTGTTGTGGGTAAGAGCTATCATACACTTGGATGGAAACGTATAGCGAGTCGTCCAAGGAATGGGTGCTGTACCACACTGTAGGAACTTTTCTAGCTGATGTGTGTGAAAGTAAAGATGATATTATTGGAGAAGGCCTGGTGTAGTGAAGGTTCCTTCTCAGTACCTCAAACAGCATGTCTGAAGCATTAGGTGACATTTTAAATATACATTTATTTGTACTTTTAACCCCTCCAGGCCTTACTTTACCTATTGGATCTCATTTGTACAAGTGATTGTACTTGTCGTTGGGTTAGCAGTTTATGGATTTGCTCCCATTGGATTCACAGAGACAAAAGAAGAAAGACTGGTCAGTTTTAATCAAAATTTGGTTCTTTCATTAATGATTGAATTAGGTGAATATTTAACCTTGATCTTCATTTTGGGCTTAGTTTGATTGTGAGAAAAAGGAAAACAAGTCCAGAATTCAAACAGAAATAATTAAACCACTAAATATGGTATGCAACATTATTTAAAACTGGATCACTGGAAAATACAATTCAAGAGTTTTCATTGGCTTAGCCATCATGGGTTATGAGCCATCATACCACGCATGCACATGAAGACAAGTTAACATGGCTCTCTTATTATTGTGTTTTTTGATTGTCATATTATGTTACATAAAAAATAACCCCCGTCCAGTGCCTGTGTAATTGGTTCGTCAATAACTATTTCTCGCAGATTGACAGAAGTCAGATGGGAACTCTTGTACCAGAATATGTGGCAAGATATATTCCTGACAACTTCTGGATTGGTCCTGATCAGGTATGAATATTGTCCTGGTCAGAATTCAATTATCGTGCTGTGCATAGCTTCCATTTTTGGATATTCTTTTTTAGTGGAAATATAAAAAGTATGGACTTTTCCCCTTCTCCTGAATTTTTCACTTTTGCCTCAGTTAAGGAAAGAGTGTGTTATGTGATGAGACCAAACAACAGCTGTGGTCATGAAAAAGAATTTATTTACAGTACCTTATGCTATACATTCTACTTGAAGCTTGATTTTTAATTGTCTTTCTGTGCTCTGTTTTATTTGTGTTTTTCATCCTTTACATTGTTTTTTCTTGTGATGTTAAGAATATTTTCTTTATCACGATTAAAATAAACAACTGCAAAAAAAGAATAAATAAAAGTATTAATCAGTTATTCTTCTAAGAATGTTTTCTGTTCTGTATTATATGGGAATATTTTCTCCGGTACATGATTTTCATGAAATGTTGTATAACAGGCAGGTTTGATCAAAATGGGAGCCAAGTTTGCACCATGTATGCGCAGCGATAAAAGGCTGCAAGAAGTGTTGTTAATGGAGAAGAGGAATGAGAGTCAGGCAGGCTGTTGTGTGAAGTCTGATGACTCTGGTTGTATAACAACAACTGAGGAAAAGTGTTCAGTAAGTATCTCACTTTAGTCTGCATTAAAGACCAACTTTTAAACATAATTACTGGAGCTTACCCCTTTTTTGTAACATGAATCAACTAGAATCTCATGTCAGAAGTTGAATCCTACATCTGCTTCTATTGGTTCTTACTTGTGATCGATTGGAGGGCAGATGCATTGATGACTTCACAAATTACACAAATTTTTACTTTGTTATCATGTAAAACAAATAGATTCCATGTTTCAGTTGGTCTGTTCAGCACTAGATCACAGAACATGTGAAAATGTGGTAAGATCATCAGAGACACAGTCAGCTGGCCTTATGGACGACTTTTTTGTTCTTACAACATTTTGATGTTATCTGTGCTACTGAACAAATGCACAGCAACATGGAGTCTACTTGATAAATTGCCACCACTCTTGGATTGGATGGCATTCTGTCACATGCATTACCCCTCATTATTATCCAACTACACTTCGTAGAGTACAAATAACTCCATAGACGAGTACAAATATCACGCGGTATTTGTATTCTAGATACCGGTTAAACAGGTTTACTCGCATCGCGCAAGCGAAAAATTGAATTGTAGTTACGAAAAAAAAATAGCGGACAATTTGAATCATATTTCCGATGACGAAGAGTCAGAATGGCTGGCAAATATACATCCAAGTTTATTAGATGAATCGAACGAAGAAAAACAGCTAGACGACCTGGAAATTTCTTCATTTATTGAAGAAAATAGAAACAGCAACACGACAACGCGCCAATTCCGTTCCGCTTCGCATACTTCTGTCACGCACTCCCCGTAAATAAATATCCGCGAAATTCGCCCGCACTGAAATAACAGTTTGGCGTGTTGGATAATAAATAACTTATTAGACGTTTTGTTGTGTAGTATCGCTGAGTATTTTTACTCGTTATTTGTATTTTGACTCGCCCTACGGGCTCGTCAAAATACGGCACAACTCGTAAAAATACTCAGCGATACTACACAACAAAACGTCTAATAAGTTATTTATTATCCAACACGCCAAACTGTTATTTCAGTGCGGGCGAATTTCGCGGATATTTATTTACGGGGAGTGCGTGTTTTTTTCTTTTCACCCTATCTTAAGTAAGATAAAAAATATTTCACCACAGCAAAATTTTAAATACCTCTTATTGAGTAGTAATAATTTTGGTGGCACTGCCTTTTATGCTGTTTCTTCGTTGAGAGTTTTTCCTAAGCTGTAATCTGGTTGTAAACGGTTCTCCACCATCACTGTTAAAAGCTCAGTTCTTAAATTCTTTGATTCTCTTGGTTCATTTGTTACGTTCTCTTTAAGATTTCCATTTCGTTTGACTTTTGTCCTCAGAGAACCTTTGCTTATTTTTGGAAGTATTCCAAATCCAATAACAAGACAAGAGTTGTTTGTGGACAAGACCCAGAGTGAGTATTTAGTGCCAAAATGTTCTCAGGACCTCCGTACTACTAGTCTCCTACACAGACGTTCTTTGGGCTCGTCACACATTGCGTCACGAGCCCAAAGAACGTCTGCGTAGGAGGCTACCGTACTACCTGTGTTACCCAACCTCGTTCTCAGGGTCTCTCATCTTCCCGTCTCCTGTTTGCTCTAAACAAGTGACTAGCCCAAACCAGGCTCTCTCTTTTCTCGCTCTTGGGGGTGGGAAGATGAGTGACCCTGAGGACAAGGGTGCTAGGCTAACAAGGCCGAAATAACTTTTCACTGCCGGTAATTTCTTTAAAAAATGTAACTAATCCTTTTACATGAAAATGGCGAACTCGTCCAAGGGGACGAGACAACATGGGAGGATAGGCTGTCCAGCCCTGAAAGGCAGGATAACTTTGTCAGTCGGGACAACTTTTTCTCATATAAACAAAGGCTGAACGTTTCTAAAGAAACTGTGGTGCTGCGTCCGTGGGGGTAACAAGGTAATTTGGTTATATCAACTAAGTTGAAATTGTAAATTGGCCACCGTAACGAATAAAAAAGCTGACGTTTGGAGCGTTAGGGCTAACAAATTATCTCATGTAAACACTTTGGCTCGCCCACCTGAGGCGAAACGGCTCAAATTGTTAACGGAGCCCGCGTGTTTCGGGTCAGTGGAGAGACTGGTGGGGGGACTGCTGCTAGAACTCAAACTCCTTTGAAACGTTGAGGGGGGACGGTTGTCTCGGGTACCCGAGACCATATAAATAGGGCCTAAGTGTCGTTGAATAGTTTTTTGTTTATTGTTTGACAGCACTTGCCTAGATCCCCCGTCGGTTATTCCAGATGAGTGGGACAAAGATATCACCAATTGGCCCGTAAGTATTGGTTCGAGTCCTGAGGAGAATTTGCTACCTTTCTATAATATCAAGAAAGGGATAGATATTCTAGTCTTCTCGGATAAGGACGAATAAACCGTAGGCCCCGTCTCCTGCAGGGTTAGGGGTAGGAGACGTTAATTTCCCACGCACAAGATTACTGTGTGGTGGAGGATGTCCTCCCCTGGGGTGGGATGGGTGGATGTTATGCAACGAGCTTCGCTGCAACCATTTCAGCTTTGCTGTGTCGTCGATCAACAGAGTACCTCGCCAAGGGACGCTGCCCTTGCGTCAAGCAGTGTCGTCATTATAGGTGCAGCCCCACAGTTAAACTGTGGACATACCCGTGTTCGGGCTATAGGCGTATATATATACAACTAAGAATTTTCATGGCTGCTTCGAAACGCCTTGTACAGTATCAAGCTTGCTTTGGAAAGGAATAAACTGCTTGCTTTTGACATAAGCAAAGAAATACTTTTTTAAAGATTATTTTCTTAAATTATAAACCTCTCGCACCATCCTCTGCAAGAGTCCTTTGCAAAAGTCCTTGTCAAGTCATCCACACAAGCAAGTTTTACCCCCCCCCCTCCTCCAAGTCCCATCGTTTTTAAACTGAAGAAGGGGGGGTTACCTGAGGCAGACTAGCATCTCATCCTGCGATACGCTTAGGCATGATGTTCCATCTGGCTCGTGAGCCCGTTTCCTCATTTTTTTTTTCTTCTTTAGCGTCAAGCCAACAGTTTACTCTACTGGTACTGTTTATTTTACAACAGATTTGTCGTGAAGCAAAGCCTAATCTGTCACCTGCTGATTACCCGCATATGACGTGTGACATTCATGGTCGCCCATGCTGCATGGGCAACGAAGCCATCTGTCGAATTGTCAGCCGGGACGAGTGTGACTTCTTCCGCGGCAGATTCCATGAGAATTTAACGCTTTGTTCCCAGGTAATTGACGGTAAAGGCATGCTAAAAAAAGAAGCAAGTAAACATTAACGTTTGAGGGTAGAGGCCTCGATATTTGCAATAATTTTCGTTACGTGACGCGAATGCGACTCCCGTGTCACGAAACTCTTGCAGCCCGCGTGACTCATACCGCCTCGGCCCGTTCAGTATAGACGAAGGCACAAATAGCAACTCGGTAGAGCGCTTTTTGCACCAGAATAAAGGTAGTAACAGTGGCCAGTCCGGGACCAAAGAAAATATCCTCATGAGAACTTGAAGCGATTTCAAGTCATCGCCCAGATGTGCAAGAGATCATGAGTTACAAATTTCCCAAGGAATTTACTCTTGCAATTGGACCTGCTTGTTCCAGAGCGTGGTGAGACAAAAACATAGCAGTCTTGCTGTATTATTGAGGCAAGATTCAAAATGAGAAAGTGAGATCCACTAGCTCAATAAACTACGATTATTCTCAGTTTCCCGAGCAACTGAGCTCCCAGTGCGAGGAAAGTTGTAATAATTCCTTTTTTTTTTTTTCTTTTTTTTTTTTTTCAGGTGGACTGTTTGAGGGATACTTGTGGAATGTTGAATTTCCATCGGAAGGAAACACCTGACCAAGTATATCGCCTTTGGATGGCAATGTTTGCTCATGCAGGGTAAATAAACCATGATGACATTTAATGTAACGGTTTTCTGTTTTTATCGTATGAAACCTCTTTTATCGGGCACCCTGATTGTGGCGACATTCACACTCATTGGATACATATATCTTATTAACCAAGCGCGAGGACCGTACTGGGAGAATATCGGCCCGAGGTCTTGACAGTACGGACCGAGCGCAGCTCGGTCCGTACAAAAAAGACCTAGGGCCGATTTTCTTCCAGTACGGTCCCGAGCAAGCTTGGTTAATAAGAGATTTATTATACGACTGAAGTTCAAAGGGACACAAGTGCGGTATCATTCGGGACCATTCGGGACAGTGCCCGGTCCAATACTGAGAGAATATTGACCGGCAATAGAGCATTTTGATTGGTTGATTTTAGTTATTGGCCCTCTGACTTTCCGAGTCGTGTAATAAAACCCTTTTACCCTACCTAAACATTCTTCTGTAACCCTACCTCTTGGCCCTAGCCGGAGGTAAGGTAACGACTAGGGGTATTACTAATCCGCCCTGGATAGGATGCCATTCCACCGTGGTTTATTTACCCCTCTCCCCTCTTCAGCATTTCCCTAACAGTTCAATTGGTACCCATTGATACTTATGGGTGTACAATCTTCTGGTTTGTAGATTTCTAGGAGACGTATGGTGAGTCGATCTCAATGAGTGTGACTTTCAATCAGCATCGAAGCCATCTCGTAGCCAACAGCTCATTTTCCTCCCTTCCTCAGTCCTCCACCCTCATTTGCTACATTACCCAGCCCCCCCGGCCCGCCACCACCCATCCACCAAAGTTACTTTGAATTTTATCCTATCAGTTTGTTCGAATATTTGATCAAACTCAAACTAAGAGGGATGATGTGGGGGTATTTGATTTTTGAAAATACGCGAGTATGTCCCATTCCCCATTATCTTTAGCACAGTAATTTCTTCGAATGAATTTATTTGGCATTACTAACAATGAACTCCATCGTTTGTTGCAGGGTGATTCATCTGGCTTGTACCCTGGCTTTTCATATCACCATAATGCGCGATATGGAAAAGATGGCTGGCTGGCTCCGCTTGTCCATCATTTATATCTTTAGCGGCATTGGTGGATATTTGTACAGTGCAATTCTTCTCCCTTATCAAGCTGAGGTAATTTACTTGGTTGATTGTTTGTGAATTTTATTAGCACTTGACAGGTGACTGATTTTTTTCCTCTGGATATTTCACTGAACATTTGACTCTTAAGCTCGAGTGTTAGCATTTCGTCAGAGCCCTCTGACGAATAGCTAAGGCTCGTAACATCAGCTTAGCAACTCTTTACGGTGGCCAGTTTACATAAACAACTCATTTTATAAAACCAAATTTATTTCGTAATACTCTCCCACCGACGCAGCACTACAGTTTTGCGAGAAACTCACCCCCCCTTACTTTTTATAAATTTCTGTCTTTTTGTCCGTTTGATTATCTGTCTCTGTTTATCTGTTTGTATTAGTTTCCTAACGTTATTTTTCCCGGCTTATTTTCTTTCTAAAACGTCTCACTAAGACACCATACCCAGTCCTTAAAAAGTAAATGCGAATGAAACCATTCCGTTCGTGCTTTCTTAAGTAGTCCGTTTATCAATCTGTATCTCTGTCTATCATTCCGCTAACCTATTTATTCGTATTTCCGTGCAAGTTTATTCTCTGTTCGTTTTCATGTCCATTTATTCTTCAAATTACTTATCTTTTATATGCAGGTCGGACCGTCAGGCTCCATCTTTGGAATCATCGCTTGCCTGTTCGTTGAGCTCCTTCAGAGCTGGCAAATCATAGCGCGGCCTTTCACAGCTCTTTTTAAACTATGTGGACTAGTTTTTCTTCTCTTGATAATAGGCCTGCTGCCGTACGTCGACAACTTCGCCCACATGATTGGTTTCTTGTTTGGGCTTCTGTTGGCTTTTATCTTCCTTCCGTATGTGTCGTTTAACAAGTTTGACCGAAAGCGAAAGCAAATCCAGATAATCGTGTGTTTCGTATTGGTCATTATGTTGTTCGTGATAGGATTTTTGGTGTTTTATGTCGGTCAGGATTCCGGCTGCAATGCCTGTGGCTACTTGAACTGCATTCCCTTCACCAAAGATTTTTGCAAGCTAGGAGGACAAAATCTACAGCCAAGAGCACGGTAGTCAGATGAGGAATAGGGAATTTAAGCAAACCACGACGGCGACGGCAACGAGAACGTGGAAAACAATAGATCTAATTGGCAGAACAATAGCCCAGCACGTGCGTTTTAAAACTTTGTACATTTCTCAGCCGTCCTTTGCAAAACAACAACGTGAAATCCCCAAAATTTGCGTCATCTGCGAACCGGAACGGCGGCGGCAAATTATTTTAATTTACATTTGGAACTCAACGCTACTTTTATG